AGTGCCTTTTTTAACTACCCTAATATATTAAGAATGATTTTATAGTATTACTGTAAGTACCTTTCTTAATTAACCTGATATATATAGAACAATTTTAAGTTATTATTGAAAGTACCTTTGTTAATTATTATAACATAATAGGATTAATTTTATAGTATTATTGTAAGTACCTTTCTTAACTACCCTAATGTATTTAGAATAATTTTAAAGTGTTATTGAAAGTATCTTTCTTAATTACTATAACATTTTATGACTGATTTTATAGTATTACTGTATATATATTCCTTAGTTATCTAATCATACTTAGATCGATTATTAGATATTTATAAGTAGATTAGTTAATAATTTTGAAGTATTATTGTATGTAATATTTTTAATCATTTTATTTAATTTATCGATAATAATATTAAAGTATTAATGTAATATTTTTAATCATTTTATTTAATTTATCGATAATAATTTTTAAGTATTAATGTAATATTTTTAATCATTTTATTTAATTTATCGATAATAATTTTTAAGTATATTTCGAATATTTTAGTTATCTTTATTCTAGGAGGAAATGCATTTTAGTTCAATTTTTTATCTATGAATGACCTAATATATAATATGGAGTTTTTAATACTTTAGATATTTCATATTATGAATGAAGCATATTTATAAAACTTATATTTAGAAAAATAATTAATCTAAAATTAGTTTCTAAAATTAGTTTCTCTTTTAGATATAATAAGTATATATTATCAGAGAAACAAATTTAGAAAATATATATAAACACCTAATATTTGATAAAAATATTCCTTTTGTTATATATTTTTTCTTTTTTATGTTAAAATGCAGGAATATCAATATTATTTTACAATACAATTTTAAGTTGCGTATCATCGTATTATGTCTTTCAAAAAAACAATATTAAATAATCATTTAAAAATTTCTTCTCACATATATATATTTATGTGTGTATAAATATATATATATAAATATATATATATATAATTATATATATATATAAATATATATATATATATATGTAAATGTTCATAATAATGTTCTAAAATGTTAAAATTAAAGAAAATTTAAAAATTAATGGACAAATGTCTAAGCTTTATCGGATAAATTTTATATATTAGATATCTTTTCAGAAAAAAGATCAAAAAAAAAATTGATTTTTTACAACCCATTTTTCACCTTAAATGCACAAAAAAAAAAAATTTAATATTTTTTTACATAATTAATATAAATTAATTTACAAATTTATTTGAAAATTTCATGCAAATTTTAAAATTTTTGGTTTGAAAAAAAAAAAAAAATAATTATGAAAATTTAGTTCGTATGATAAAAAAAAAGAATTTGATACGTCGAATGTAGCTCAAAAATTTTGAAGTGCAAAAAAAAAAAAATTTCAAAAAAGATTAAATTTATAAAAATATTTAGTGTACAAAAAAATATATATTTTTAAAATTATTATTGTATATTTTAAATGCATTTTTTTTAAGCTTCTTATCGCTCAAAAAAATAAAATAAATTGATGAAAAAATAGAGAAGATATATTCATTAAAAAAATACTCATTTTTCTTACATTTTTTATGTGTACATGTAATTACATGTAAATATTTTAAATATAATAGTTATCTCCAAAATAAAAAAAAAATGAAAAAGAAA